ATTAAAAAAAAAAATTAAAACTTCAACAACAGCGAAAGATGTATCAACGATATCACAAATTTTGCCAGTAACAATATCGATAAAAATCGATAAAACGATTTAAAAATCAATTTATATTATTGCAGGTATAACTGCTCAGTAGAGGTAGCGATCTATTTGGCAATGAATAGAGTCAACGATATCGAAGGTTGTAACCATGATTTCTAGAAGGAAATGGAAAACATCTGCCGATAACGATATCGATTAAAAATCAATAATAATCGATGAAAGACACATATCTTTGCCATATTTGGGATGTTTAGTTATCTGTTAGACTAAACATATTCTACTTATCAAGCTTATTAATTGCACGATGAAATCTCCAAAAACGTAGATTTTGACTTATATCTCTATTTTATTAAACGTGCCATATGTATATCAAAGTCCGGTGTATTCTCGGAAGCAATGCATACAAATTCCGCACATACATAAATTTATTTCCAAAAATGTTTTCAAAACGCGCTCTATGAATCAATTATTTCGGCAAAATTGCAGTTTCAAATTTCATCCAACCACTAAATATTGCGTGAAATTTTCAGCAAAAAACATAAGCTGCAACATTGTATCTTTGCTAAAAATCACAATCCGTAAATGAATATGTCAAGAGCATATGCTGAGCTAAAATGTTCATGTTTTTCATTTGAACTTTTCCAGCGGAACGCTTTTGTTTAGAATTTTTAGCGAAATAGAAGTGAAACCATTTTAAACACGCTAGCACCCATGCGTTTACTCTATCGCATATGTATGTACATACATATATACACATATGGGCACATGCGAATGCTCCACTTAGTCATGCCTTTCGTTATCCTGCCCTCAGGTCAGTGGCTTTCGCTTGCACTCGCTGGTGCATTTAAGCTTTCACATATACATTTGCCTATACTCTTACATATGTACATATGTATGTTTCGATAGACGATGTATATGTCTGTGTATCTGTATTCAGACTGATACAGCTACAAGCGTTTGAGGGAAATAGTTTTTTTTTGTGGCTTTTTAGCTGTTGTGGCTTTTCGGCGGGAGGATAATAGTAACAGCATCATACTTTTTAATATATGTATACATATACATATGCGCATATGTATGAACAGAAAAGTACTGGTGGTATTTAGCCACCGAGTGAGGCAGCGTTCCACATCTAAGAAAGAATTTTAAACTAAAATTTGCATTTAACTAGCCCAGACCAAACAATTATATTGGAGTAAATTAAGTTTGTTTTACCTTTTGCCCTTTAGCCAATCTTTAGGTGTTTGTATTAAATTTTTCCCGTAGCAAAAAGGAAATATTTTTGTTTTTTAAGTGTGTTTCTCTATGCTGGCTTCTTCATGGAAATCCGTAAACATTCATGTACATATATAGGTGTGGAATTCATTAAGGGGTAGCACGGCGTATGCGTAACATGCGAGTGAATGCAAAGGGAAGTACATATACGTATGTATGTATGTATAAACATATGCCCATATGTACACATGTTTGTTAAACAAAATTAACGGAAATTAAGATTTGTTCAACAAATTTAATTACAAAAAAAAAGTTAAAGTTTCCACGGCTGCAAAAGGCCTAGAACTATATATGGAGCATATGATAGCAAGCATTTTAGCCAACCCCGAAAAATGGAAAACTTACAGGAAATGTGCAACGATAATGAATTAGGAGGCTCTTTAGCTCTTTGTCCAGTACTTAGTAGGCCTCGGCTTAGTGTCCTGCGGGTGGTTTTACTACCGAATTCAGTAATAGCCACCAAAAGAAGGTAAAACAAAATAATCTAGTTATAGAGTTGGCAGATAGGTGGCGGAATATATTACCTACTTATTGCTTAAGTATCACTGCTGAAGCTTGAGGATAATTTTCGTATAATAGCGCTGTCTTTTAACGCTTTTCTCATTTAAAATAAAATAATTCTCGGATATACGTAATTTTACAAGCTAAAGTCTTTCCTTTCTAGAATAAATAGCTTTATCGATATCTTTGTGGATATTTATGTACTCATATGTTCACCACACAAAGGAAAACTGTCAATCGAAGAACTTTAATCATTGCTATCTACTTTACACAGTTTCGAGCATTCAGCACTCTCACACACAGCACAACTTCAAAGAAAAATTGCACTCACTTTGTCGTTGAGAATTCGACCGAGCTTCTTCGGCTGCGTAAAGTCTTATTGTTGTCATACAAATATAATCGCTTTACGCTACCTTCGAATTGAAAGTGATATTTCATGAACAACTCTTTGGCATTGCTTGTCGAAGGGCGAACGCTGTTTGCAAAAAAAAAGCTTTCTCCATAAATTTTATGTAACTACGCACCTTTTACCACTCGGCTATGGCGGCTATGTGCTCGTACATATTTCCATATATGTTTGTATGTAGACTAGGGTGTTCCAAAAATGCATGTGAAAAATTAAGGTCGGAATTTCAATGTTATCACCCCTACATCGAAAAAGACTTTACCCGTGTTTTTTTTTTATTTTGAAATAAAGAAATATTTAGAGGTCGCTCAAAGCGCTTAAAGTTTCTAATATATTTTATATGGCGAAAAACATGTTTTCTTAGAAAAGGTATAGAATTCTTGAAAATTACAGATGACTTCCAATAACCATACCCAATTATTTATTTAAGCATTATCTATTATAAACTATTTATAAAGAACCCCTAAAAACCTAAAAAATGCAACTGGGGACCCATTTGAGGTTTTAGGGGCCCTATAAAAAATAGGTAATAATCGAGAACGGTTAAATGAATAATTGGATATGATTATTGGAAGTCTTCTGAAGTAAAACAAAGTTTTGCGATCGAAAAATATTGATTTCAAGTATTCCATACCATTTCTACGAAAACTTTTTTCCCCCCATATAAAATACATGGAGTATTTTGAGCGCTTTGAGCGACCTCTAAATATTTTTTGATTTCAAAATAAAAAGTCGGCGGTATAATTTTTTCCTATGGGAGAGAGCATTAAAATTCCCTCTTTACTCTTTTTGGACCACCCTAATGTACATATAATACCCACTACTCCAATTTCTTGTCTAACGAAAGCTATGCTCTTTGGTGAAGCATTTGCCATAAAAATTCCCTCGTATGCAAGTTTGATAATTCTACATTGGAGGTGACCACATGTGCTTATGTACATATGTATATGTGAACGCTTTTTTATTGAGTGATTCATACACACAACTGCTTACATATGTATGTTTGTTTATGCGCAAAATCGTATGTATGTATGTATGTAAGTCTCTTAACAATTAGAAATCGTTTTTATTTATCTCTTACTCATTACTAATTGCCAAAATAGAGACAAATACACATACATACATAGTATTTACAAGCGTACAGATGTATGCAAACAAAATAAAGGTTCTGCGCAATAAAATCAAAATAGAAGCTACAAATCTAAACAAATATTTATCATATGGCTGGTAAAAAATATGAATGGATATTAAGGTGGTGCAAAACTTTTGCACCATAATTTTATTGCTTGAAGATTTCTGAAGGCAAAACATTTATTTTTAAAGATTTTATAGCATTTCTACGAAGAAAAAAATTTATGTATGTCATCAGCTGAGTGAAAAATCGCCCTATCTCTGCTGCCGGTTCGAAAACGACCTATCACAGCAAATAGTTGTAGAACGCCCTATATCAGAATTTGGTTCAAAAATGCCCTATATCAGCTGTCGCTTTGAAAACGCTCTATTCAATATAAATTCAAGGTATTGGCTGCTGAGTTAGGGCATTTTCAAACCGGCGGGCGAAATAGGACAGGCAGTCCGCCACTCAGCCGTCGATATGCAAAACTTGAAAGCACTTTCCATTTTCTATAATTCTCGGCAAGAGAATTGCAAAAACCAGATTTTCTTGTGTAATTTTTGACCACCCTAAAATACATTTGAGCTCATGAAAGAAGTAACACAGGTTTTGAAAAATATAACTCATACTTTAGTACTTTGACAGGGCCAAGTAGTTTGTTGCTTATCATTTTATCGTTTTATAATTTTAATTTGGGGCATGCGCATATGTTAGCGATACCATCTTTTTTTAAATATCTATAGATTTTTATGTAAAAATTGTTTCGATAAATTTATCAAAGTATTTATCGATATTTTCATTGAGGTAGTCAATGATTTAAGTATAACTATAATAGTTAAGCAACCCCATCGATAAATGTATCGATAAATTAATCGACATTATTTTTTAAATACTTATCGATACTGGTTTAAATATTAGTCTGTGTATTTTTATTGTTGTTGAACAAATGTCCGTCCTCAATTCTCAATTAAAGTTTTGGAGACAAAACATAAAAGATCGTCATACCAATTTATACGTATACCCAGTTGGAAGCAGCAATAACCAAAAATTTAAATTCATTAAATTTTGCATTTGCAAGCGGCATAACATTTCGGATGCAAAACTAATCGTTTTTTTTCACCACTGTAGTAGGTACAGCGTCAACCGGATAGCACTTCCAAAAATAAGAACTGGCTGAACGGGATTTTCTGGCCTTAAAATTATCTACTCAAATCATTCCATGCACTCGTAGGTATTTATATACTAATTTATTATAATTTTATTATTGTTTTTTTTTATTGATGATAACAATTACCACCATATTTTTGCAAAATGTTCAACAAGTTGCTGAATCATTTAAATACTATGAATGTGCGTGAATATCTAGCATAGAAAACAACAGATAACGGTACAACAAAGACTTAAAAGTGTTTTCAGTATTGCGGAAGAGAGCCCATGCCCATCAAACAGGTGTGTGTGTTTGCGTGTGTCTACCAACTACTCTCCATAACTTCCACTTAAAGAGCGTATATATGAACGATAAGAAAACTGCTTCAATGAAAGCTCACAAATCGTCGAATTTAAATCTATTTAGCCCGCAAAATTTTGTTCAGTTCTTACTTAAATGTTCACTTGTTCAGTTCGCTTCGAGTCCTAGACAGTTTTACAAAATACATCGAAATGGGTGTGTTTCTCGCTTTGTTTATACTCACCGTTACACTGGGTTTTCTCGTCCTCAAGTACCGTCATGGCTACTGGGCACGCCGTCACGTGCCACACAATGAGCCTAGCTTCCCGATGGGCGATTTCAAAAACTGGCAGAAAACACAAACGTTTGTCGAAGTTTTTTTGCCAGTCTATAATAAATTCAAAGGCAGGGCTCCCTTTGCCGGCATGTTTTTGATGTTTCGCCCCATCGCACTAATTTTGGACATTGATTTAGTGAAAAATATTCTTATCAAAGACTTCAACAACTTTCACGATCGCGGTGTCTTCCACAACGAGAGAGACGATCCACTCACCGGCCACTTATTCGCTTTGGATGGGCAAAAGTGGCGCGCACTGCGTCAAAAACTATCACCGACCTTCACATCCGGTAAAATGAAGTTTATGTATCCCACCATCACCAAGGTGGCTGAGGAGTTCGTACGAGTTATGCAAGAAAAGCAAGCGACGTCTGCTGGTGGCATCATAGAAATGGGCGATTTAGTATCCCGCTTCACCTCCGATGTGATTGGTACCTGCGCTTTTGGCATCGAATGCAACGGCCTACGCAATCCGACCGCAGAATTTGTGGTGATGGGACAGAAGGCGGTCAGCGAAAGGCGACATAATAAATTCGTAGATGCTCTGCTTGAGTCAGCGCCTAAGTTGGCGCGTGCACTACGAATGCGGCAAATATCACAGCAAGTGCACGACTTCTACATGGGCATAGTCCGTGAGACTGTCTCCTTCAGGGAGAAGAACCAAGTGACCCGCAGAGATCTGATGCAAATTCTGATTGAATTGAAAACGAAAGATGGCAAGGATGGCGGTCTCACAATGGATCAAATTGCCGCACAGGCTTTTGTTTTCCTATTGGCCGGCTTTGAGACCTCGTCCACTACAATGGGCTTCGCACTGTACGAATTGGCTAAGCATGAGGATATACAAGAGCGGCTACGCAAAGAAATTTTGGAAGTGCTTGAGCGGTATAATGGCGAATTCACCTACGAAGCAATGATGGATATGCATTATATGGAGCAGGTGTTTTCGGGTGAGTAGTGGTTGTGAAAATAAGTATATCACTGGCTTATTCCTATACGAAATTTTCGCATATAATTCCAGAGACCTTAAGGAAATACCCAGTACTGCCACATTTGACACGCGAGGCCAATGCGGATTATAAAACCGGAGACTCGCGCTACACTATCGAAAAGGGCACTATGATAGTTATATCCGTAGATTCCATACACTATGACCCCAAATACTACCCCAATCCAGAACAGTTCGACCCCGAACGTTTCACGGAGGCGGAAATCAAGAAGCGACCCGCATGCACATGGCTACCGTTCGGCGATGGGCCACGCAATTGTATCGGCTTGCGTTTTGGCAAAATGCAAGCAGTAGTTGGACTGACATATTTGCTGCGAAATTTCAAATTCTCACTTTGTGAACAAACCAATGTCAGCAAGCACGGCATGAAGGGAAGAGTCTTGCTGCATTCGGTTGATGGAATTAAATTGCGTGTGGAGCCTGTGTAGATAAATTAATTTTCGGGTATAAGCTGAAATAAATTTGACTGCTAATTTTATTTAAAAAAAGATGTGAATATGTAAATGTATGTAAGTTTATAATATAGTATAAATGAGTTAATAAAACATATTGTTGCTAATTTATAAAAAAAAATATATTGACGTATAATCGATATTTGAGGCACTTAGCAATTCCAATTACTTAGTCACTCATTGCTTGCTAATTTATCAGTTTCGGTGTCATTTGGCGCTGAGTGGAAGTCCTATAAGATAATATATTTTTTGTTTAATCATTTAAAAAAAAACAGATATAAGTACTATATCGCTGTGTTGTAGTGGCTAGCAGTGCGCTCTACCATTCCACAAGGCCGGGGTTCAACCCAACATAAAAAATTAAAAAAAAAAATTTCTAATAGCGGTCGCCCCTCGGCAGGCAATGGCAAACCTCCGATTTAGGATTAGAATGAACTGAACCGATCTGAAAGTAATTAAAAAAATCATATTATTTTGACACCATTGATAAATTTTTGAAACATCTTAATGAATATTTTTACGCTTAAAATTTTCTATCGGCCGAGGTGTTTTTGTAGAATATATTAAAGCCCAATTTATTTACGAAAAAATTAATGCATGTATTTTTAAATCAGTTCAATTCAGGTAAATCTTTATATTTTTAAGAAATATTTTGGCGAAGGTCTCAAAATATAATAAGTTTTAGAATACCCATGGAAAAACAGTACCGGGTTGTTTTTTTTTATGGAGAGTGATGCACCCTAATGTACATATGTAAATATCCCTTTAGTTATACCAGAGTTTTGCGTTAGTAGAAACTGTTTGAACAAATTCGCATAATTTTCATATTTTCTACACTTCATTACATTCATTACCCATATGTATGTATGTGTGGAGGTACTTATATCTAAAATTTACAAAATCCCAATATCTCGCATTTACCCCAAATGCCAGTATAAGCTCTCATTTCTTAAGGACCATTACTTGTTTTTGTTTGCTTTGATTCAAAAATTGTTCCAAGTAAAATGGCAATCTCATTTGCATGTAGAACATACATGCATATAGCAAGGTGCAAACACTGTATATGTATATCTAATTATGTTCCCTGTCGGAAAATCAACTATGCATTTTAAAAGCAAGTTGAAAGAAATTCTTCCTTTTTTTCTGGTTAGCAACTGACTTTATTAAAATGGCGATGTCCTGGGTGCAATACAATTGTTCCATTTTGCATTTGATTTCCATTACTTTCAAATGTGTTTGGCTTAAAAAACTTCAAAATCAGTGATTTTCGGTTAAATATGCTTTTCTTCTGCACTTCACAGATGCTTTTTCTTCTAATTTTCATATGTTTCGTCGGATGACAATTGCAAACGCAGAACCTCATGCAATATAGCAAACAATGGAAAACTCCCCTGCGCACCCAGCTACAGCCAAAGTCCTCGTATGTGAACGTGTTCTCAAATGATCAGTTTGAATTATATACATTTCATACAATTATTAATTTCGCATAGAGAGAGAATTTCTTTAAAAATAGTTTTCATGTTCAAAAAAATTGCTTGGGAGATTTTTAGTGAATTTTCTGCATTTTTGTTTTAAAGGTGAATTTTCGAGACTGTCTGCTTTACTCCGATAGGGTTGTTACTTACATGCAATTGTATAGTGCATAGTCAGGTACTTAAGTGAAAACTCAATGGCCGAGTAGGGATTTAGGCGAAATTTTAAAGGCCAGAATGCTAAAATGCGAACAAAAGAAACAATCTTGCAAGTCATTGGGCCAGATACTCAATATAAGTACATACATATGTATGTAAGTATTCAAAAATTGATAAGGCAAATGCTTGTCAACATTCGAAAAAACTAAATTTTAAAAATATCATTTTTACAGTCTCAATTATCCGCAATTCATTATTAATGTGCCTTTCAAATAAACTTCTTGGAAAAATTGCATTACTTGCTTCAAAATGAAAAGTGTGTGGATACATGCACAGTTGCCACTTTCTTCTATTTTATGTGCCAAAATGTAAAAACTGCTACAGATTTAATTATTAAAATATTTTCAATTTTCTAGTGATTTGTGAACTATCTTATAATGCTGGAACATACCTCCCTTAAGTTAAATAAAATAGAACTATATAGATCCATTAAGTGCCATGCTCCAGATTTTGGCCGGAGACAATAACCGCTCCCCGAAATGTAAGGTCGAGGCCACGCAAGGAGCGGCAAAGCGGCGTCATACAGTAATGCCGCTCGGCCACTCAGTGCGTGGCCACTTCAATAGATTTTATATGTTTTAATCAGCCGCTTAGCAGCTCGCCGCTTTGCCGCTCATTGCGTGGCCTCGACCTAAGAGTCTCTGACCTACTCTTGAAGTCCTGTTAGGTAGCGTCTAAAAGTCCTCGGACCTTCTCGACTGAAATCCACAAGTCGTTCCGAGATTCCTCTGAGGCTATGAAACATTTCTTGAACTTTTGGCGGATCACAAAAATGCTGGGGACCACATAAGCTCCGTTGGAGCCCACGTTTTGCGAGAGCATCAGCTCTTTCGTTACTGTTATGAGTGCTTAATTGCAGTAGCTCACAAACCTAGATGTAGCTTTGAAAGAGTGCAGGGCTTTTGATGAAGAGGACACTACTGGCAGGCTATTTCCGTCTAGTGTAATCCGTATTCATAAATTTTTTTTCATAAACCCCAATAAATACCCCTTTTGCTATGCCATAGATATCTACTTAAAACAGTTAATTTGGTTTCTTATCAAAAGTGCTATTAATTTACTTTATGATCCACTACTACTGGCTCTTTTGTGATAAATTATTTGTAAACTAATTTTATTTATTTACAATACATTACATTTTAAAGTCTCTACTCTATTTTTATTACTAAAAAGCTGTTAATATTAATTTATTTAGCTTCAAGTGCAATATTTTTCTTATTTTAGTTGTTGCTGCGTGCAAGAAAATTACCAAAAGGAAGAGAGAAAGAAAATTACCCAAAGGAGGAGGGAAACTAAGAATGTAAGTGCACTACACTTTTTTCTATATTTTTTTTACCTTATTCTCATTTTATCTCAATTACCACCTTACACTGATTTGCTTAACAAAAATCGACGTAGGCGAGCTTTGCAGCAACAAGCACTGAAGCACATTGTTCCCAAGGTGGGTTATTTCTCAGATTTTGTGTCTTCTCTTTTTATGCGTCCGTCTCAACGGAGCTACTAAGTAAGCAAAATAATAAAAAAAAAAACATTTCAGTAATTCATAGTAAATGCTTTGTTTATTCATCTAGCAGCTTTGGTTGTTTATTGAGTGGGGAAGAGTTAGCTGGTAGAGGACTATAATATTTGCATAAAATCACCGTATTTATATCTACACGCATATAGTACAAATTTGCATGATCGTAGTTAATGAAAGATTGCTTTTGAAATAAGCAATCTTTAAAGTGATTATTTGTTTGGGATTAAACTTTCGAAGTCAGACAATGAAGCAGCCCCTGAGGCTCCACATACTCTATACCGGCGATGGGCACCACCTTGCTCGCGCGGGCAAAGTTCTTTTGAGCTCTATACATTTTGTATATGTGCGCGCAGAGTAAAAGCTCTCTCTGACCATCGCTGTTCTTTACCAGCTGTTCTTTACCAGCGATGAGCAGATAGAGCTTTTACTCTGCACGCGCCTATACCAAATCTATAGAAATCTTAAAAGAGCTTTGACCGCGGGCAAGGCGATGCCCATCACTACTCTATACTAATCACGACCAAAACATATGCTGAGAAACATGCTTTTTAAAGCCTTCTATAGGTTTAATATCAGTAATAAGTACAGAGAACTTTCACCCCGTTTGTAGTCATAAAAATGCAAAAGAGGCTTGAAAGAGCTCTGCATGCAACCAAGCTGCTGCCCATGACCGTTTTATATGGACGTGCAGAGTCTAAAAGCTGTCTGTGATCATCTCAGTAATGCTGAGAGAGAGCTTTTGCTCCGTGCTCTTGCCTGCGGGCAAAGCTCTTATAAGCTTAATATACATTTTGTATAGCCGCCAGTAGGGTAAAAGCTCTCTCAGCCCATCGCTGATATACAATCTACAGAGAGCTTTGAAGAGTTCCGCCCATGGGCGCTCTTTTGAGCATCACTACATCATCTCGCCTCTTATGTAACATAAGTTATACTTCATATTTGGTTCAACATAAGCACTAGTTGTAAGCTTTTAAAAGCTACCGTTACAATTTATATACGCCTGGCACAAACTAAGAGCTCTACCTGGGCCCTACTGATTTAAGTTGAATGCACACAATGCATACGCTCTCAATGTCCTAATCACTCTCTGCCATTGCTTGTTAGAGATCCGACATTCATGTTCGCAAGATTCATAAAAATAAAATAATATATGTATATGGCGGATGTTTTTTGTTTTGAAGAAATTATATAATTTCTTATTTACGAACCCCTAACTGTGTCACCCATTATTTCTTTATTATCATCAATTGAGAGTGCGTTCTTAAGAAAAGCTCTCCCTGTTATTTCACCACTTTATGCAAGCCCAAACACACATTAGTTCTCTAAATAAACTTGTCTAAAAACCAAAACGCATTGCTTGTTTACAAGTAACAATATCATAACACGAGTTATTCAAATTTTAAATATAACAGTAGCGACATATAATACTTAAAATTGGGTGGCCCAAAACATACTAGATCTGACGAATTTAATAATTCTGCTTACTCTTGTGTATGGAATCCAAAGCAGAATTATAATAAGAAGTAGACTGAAACCAAAACTCCCCACAACGCTCAAAACTGCGAGATCTACTTAGCCATTTTCTATGCACAAAGCGATACCGGCAAATGCCACGCGCTTAAGCGCAACGAAGATAACATCAGCAGTGAAAAGTTTGAGCACTTGCGAGTTGTTGTATGCTGTTTGTTTTATTTATAAATGTTTATTTGCTTCTATACTTGCCCTGCTGGTCGGCATAAACAAAAAAAAATACTATTTAATATGCCCGTCTGCTGTTGTCACTGCTATCAGTAATAGTAAAGCATTGAGACGAGCGGTATTTCGCTTAAAATTCTGTTAAATAGCCAAAATTTTATTTAAAGGCTACAATTTTTAACTTTGCTACTTAAATAAAATAAAACCGAAAGAATGTTTCTACTGTTAACTCTCATCATCTTCGCATTGGCGCTCGTGGTGTTCGCGCTCGAGCGGCATTACACCTATTGGCAGCGACGTGGGGTGCCACAGGTTGCGCCCCGTTATGTGGTTGGCAACATCCAGCGCACACCTGGCGGTCAAGTGCAGCTACGCCACTTCAACAAGCAACTCTACGAGGAGTACAAGAAGCGTCGGCCTTTTGTGGGCATGTATATCTTCTTCACGCGCGCCGCACTCATACTCGATTTGGATGTCATCAAAGACATCTGCATTAGTAAGTTTTCGAACTTCCAAGATCGCGGTGTTTTCTCGAATCCACGCGATGATCCACTCACCGGTCATCTGTTTCGCTTGGAGGGCGAGCAATGGCGCGCCATGCGCCAGAAACTCACGCCCGTTTTCTCTTCAGGCAATATGAAATACATGTTCCCCACCGTGCTGAAAGTGGGCAATAAACTGACGCAAGCATGCCACGCGGCGATCGCGGACAGCACACATAAGGGTGAGCTGGAAATGAAGGAGCTCTGCGCGCGCTACACTACCGATGTGATTGGCACTTGCGCTTTTGGCATTGAGTGCAATAGCCTACGCGATCCGCAGGCTGAGTTCAGACGTCGCGGCCATGCCGTCTTCTCCGAACCACGGCACTCACAACTCGTGCAGACATTCATGCTGATGAATCCAGATTTGGCACGTCGTTTGCGTTTGAAGTTCTTTCCCGACCACATCATACAGTTCTATGTGGATGTAGTGCGTCAAACGGTGGAGCTGCGACAGCGCGACAGAGTCAAACGCAATGATTTTATGGATTTGATGATCGCCTTGAAGGCGGAAGACGAGCGTTTGTCAGCGAAAAGTGATGGCATCGACCTTTCGCAAGGTCTTACTCTGCTGCAAATAGTGTCGCAAGCGTTTGTCTTCTTTGTGGCCGGTTTTGATACGTCTTCGACGACCATGTCGCTGTGTCTATACGAGCTCGCATTGAATCCGGCGATACAGGAGAAGGCGCGTAATGAGATCGAACATGTGCTGAAAGCCCATAACGAACAGCTCACATACGAGGCGCTAAATGAAATGCAGTATCTTGATCAAGCAGTGGATGGTGAGTAAAAGTGCGCGATATCTTCAAACATTACAGCTTTTACCTCCTCTTCTATTTTCTAGAAACACTGCGCAAATACCCCGTTGTGCCGTATCTGGTGCGCAAAGCTAAGGAGGACTACTTGGTGCCCAACACCAATGAGGTCATCGAAAGCGGGTCTCTTGTAGTGTTGCCTGTGCACGCCATTCAACACGACCCTGAGCTATACCCGGAGCCGGATAAGTTTGATCCCGAACGTTTTAACACCGAAGAGCATAGTGAGCGTCATGCTGCTGCGTACATGCCATTTGGCAAAGGACCTCGCGCCTGTATTGGCTTGCGTTTTGGCAAAATGCAGGCCAAGGTAGGGTTGGTTAATTTTCTGCGTCATTTCCAGTTCAGCAGATCCGCACGAACTCAAGTGCCACTCGATTTTATTGAACGCATTTTCCAAATCACACCAGCCAGCGGCATATATTTAAATGTGGAGCCTTTGAAAGTCGCGCGATAGGACAACAAATAGTTTTTTATGGCAATGAAATGAGTTTTGAAATAGACTTTTTAATTTATAGTTGAAATGTTGCGTCATTAAGTTATTAATAAGTCTCCACGTAAAATAAAACCTCGGGAATTTTTCCTTGCAAGGTGCGTATTCGTTATAAGAAAAACCTGCTTGATAAGACTGCTCAATCTGAAACTTTTACTTGAAATTATATGCTCAAGCAGATTTTGGCTCTAAGAAGTGAAACCCGATTCTACAGGAAATCCTAACTCGGCATTGGGGACAGCCTAGAAAGAGGGTTACCCCATCTCAGTTCCTGAAAAATAGACAGGGTAAATTAAAATAGAGCGTAGTAACCATTTGGGTACGCTTGCATCCAGCTCAGCTTAGCTCGTCGGATAGGGGTTGGTTTTGTAAATAACTCAGATGTGCAATGTACTTCGCCAACAATCATAAAAATATTATCGTATCCATGCGGCCATATGCCGATTGTTAAATAAAACCGCTATATTGCAAACCCACGTCTGGTCCTTAATGGTCCACCCACATCTGTCGTTCCTACTTAGTTGCCTCCGCTCCTTCATATCACAACTGTCTGCCCTGTCTCGTTCAGTCTCACGGTTCGCCGTAAGCCTGTCACATCGCACCCAATGGGCCCGTTCGTCCATCCATCCATCCATTAATTTGTTCATTCGGATAGCTTCTTACTGAGCTATCCAGACTAAATCACTGATTTGACAGAATTCACCGTCTAGAGCTTTACTATGAATGAACCGTGCTATAGATCGATCTGTCCGTTCTGTACAGCAGTAGTCTTTCCGTTATTTTGTTATTCTTCCTAACCGTCGACTTAACTAAATTAATCGCAATTTTTGCTCTCTTCTCCTTTAACCAAAAATTTCTTCTTAATTTTTATCATTTCTGTACACTTTCCTCCAAAATTTATTCTCCAAAGTGTGGTCTACCTACGCCTCCTGTATGCGGAAAGTGGGCGGTTTCGAATCTCTATTTGGGTTGTTATCTATAAATTAACTATATTTTTCTTCCCAATGCGCCTGTAGAAAACATTCGCACCAGAAGGAGGGAGTACAGAATTTCGTGTGCATATAATAAACTAGATTTGTGATCGCGAGCATTTCAACCGTGTCCATGGAGTAATCAGTGACTTCGCTGCAAATGACTTACGGTGCCAAAAAATCACATACAGAAAGCAAGGGATTCCTCCTATCGTTAACCCCTACGGAACTTAGAGTCTTACGTGTGCCTTCCCGGTGAATTACCGCCTGCTGGTCTAGGCGAAGATGACCACTACACAGAATCTACTGCCAATGGGAATCAACAAGAAAACTACTAGTCACTAAAAGTTTCGCTGCCACAATTTCTACAGAAATTAAGCACCTCCTCCCTAAATATGCACGAAGTTTGCATTTATTGGACCTTTTTAGAAAGATAATAGCTTAGCTCGCATACTATCGTTAACTGACTTGTAAGCTTACCTAGAGATTTTTTAGGATCTAGGATTCATAAACTGAATGCCCAGTACGTAGCTAAGGAACGGTAGCGGTCATGTGGTCCTGCGACAGTCGGGAGAGTAGTCGGTTCGAAGTATTATAAATAGCAGTCGTAATCCGAATATCAGACGTTTTAGTAAAAAAAATACGGCAAACCGGTTAAGAATTCGCTAGCGGGGAATTATTAGAGCGAATGTGTCACTGCTCAATGTGGCCGGCGCAGGTTTGGCTAAAACACAGTGATAGCGAAAACTATTATAACAAAATTAATATAGATAAATATTTATTTTTTTGTTATTTTTTTTTTTTTAATTCGTGCTTAACCTAAAATTTTCTTGTAAAACTTTAAAAATTACCAGGCTGTTGAAATAACCAAACAATAAATGCTTCCCTTTCGAGAAAGAACAATGCGTGAGTCTCACAGCAAAAGAACACATAGTTTCTTGATACGAAAACCGCGAAATTTGCATTCTTTTTCGTGATAAGCTTTTAAAACTTATACGCATATATATGTATATATATGTATGTATGTACCCCAGAAGCGTTTATAATTTACGAGAGCGCACTGCACTAAGCGAACGGCAAAGTAAACTAAGTGAACCTCTCAGCAGCGGTTGCAGTTGCAGTTGGCCAGTCGAACAGAATAGTTGGTGCCTGATATTTCATTCTTAAAGCTCGCATACCTACTAAAAAGTTATCATATATTAAAGCATTGATTATATACGCACATAGAAAAAATTTTGCTACGGAATTATCATTATTTTTAATAAGAATCTTCTACCTACGAACATGTCTGCTGCGGTATTCTGCGCGCTGCTAGCCACCGTCCTAGCCATACTCTATATACAGCTGCGCCGCCACTATAGCTATTGGGCGCGCCGCGGTGTTCCACACGAGCCACCGAAATTCTTCGTCGGCAATATGAGCGGCATTGGTACACTTTATCACTGGAAGGAAATCAACGCGCGCATTTATAATCGTTTCAAGGGCCAAGCGAACATTATTGGCGCGTATACATTCTTTAAGCGCGTCGTCTTCATCATCGAACCCGAACTCATCAAGCGCATCTTAATAAAAGACTTCAACTATTTCGCAGATCGCGGACTCTTTCACAATGTGCGCGATGATCCGCTCACCGGCAATCTGCTGTTCTTGGATGGCGAACAATGGCGCGTGCTGCGTCACAAGCTATCGCCCGCCTTCTCCACTGGCAAGATACGCTTCATGTTCCCCACTATGGTGGCGGTAGGTGAGCGGCTTGTCGGCGCTTGTCAGCGTCTTATTAATATTGGCGGCACTGTTGAGCTGAAGGAGCTCTGTGCGCGCTACACTACCGATGTGATTGGTGAAGTCGCCTTTGGCATAGAGTGCAACAGCCTGAAGGACCCGTATGCCATATTTAGACGCATGGGTCGCACTATTTTTGAAAAACCACGTCATTCGCTACTCGTGCAAGCTTTCATGTTTACCGATCCAAATATGGCACGCAGACTGCGGCTGAAAAACTTTCCCGATGATGTGAGCGACTTTTTTATGGGTGCAGTGCGTGAAACTGTGGGGTACAGAGAGAAGAACGGCGTGCAGCGTAATGATTTTATGGATATGATGTTGGAGATGAAGGCGCAGCGTGATCGTTTGGAGCACACTGATATCAGGGAGGACGATTTAACGAACGGTTTGAGCATCGAACAGGTGGCCGCACAGGCGATGGTCTTCTACTTGGCGGGCTTTGAGACCTCATCAACGGTAATGTCTTTCTGCATTTACGAATTGGCATTGCAACCAGAGCTGCAAGAGCGACTGCGTGAGGAAATTTTCGGGGTTTTACAAAAAACTGAAGGAAAGGTGACCTATGAGGCAATCAAGGAGATGACTTACCTTAAGAAAGTGATGCAAGGTAAGCATGCATTTTTGTTTTAATTAGCTACATTCAAACTACAATTTTTTTTACAGAAACGCTACGTAAACATCCCGTCATACCGCACCTGGTGCGCTTAACCACCGCTGACTACAGCATTCCAAACAGCAACATTACACTGGAGCGCGGCATGCGCATTTTCATACCCATCGACGCGATTCATCACGATCCAGATATCTATCCCGAACCAGAGAAGTTCGATCCTGAACGCTTCTCGCCAGAGGAAATCGAAAAGCGTCATCCTTTCACTTATTTACCCTTCGGTGAGGGACCCAGAAATTGCATTGGCATGCGTTTTGGTGAGTTTCAGACCTCCATCGGAGTCATACAACTACTGCGTAGCTTCCGATTCAAGCCATCAGCGCGTACTCAGGTACCCATAGTTTATGCGAAGAAGAATTTTCTTATCGCCGCAGACGGTGGCATACATTTGGCTGTGGAGAAGTTGGAGGAAACTATTTGAAAATTGAGCAAAATAAATTTTACTAAATATATGAACAAAAATTTTGTACTTCCATTTGCGGTTTTTTGTTGTCTGTCGATTAACTGAGCTACCTACATAGATAAATATGTATGTATAAGTACTTATGTAAAGCGCAAGTTTAAGTACTTAGGTATATGATAATTTGTTTAATAAATGCCTTTGTGTATCTTATCGACACTTGAACGCCTTCTTAAGTTTTTTTGTTCACTGCACTTTTATATAAAAAAATTGAGTATATTTACATACATATAATGAACACATTGTAATTCATAATCAGTAATAACATTGCCTCATCCAAGTTTTCTATAAAAAAATTCTTATAGTTCTTTTATTGAATGGAATTATAATTAATAAATATTTATAGTGCCGGATCAAAGTATTGGCACAGAGAATTTTTCGCAATGTATGCAAAGTTTTTTACTTGAATTTCTTTTCGCACATTATTTTTTTTAAATACAGTTAGTATGAAGATCTACTTTCAAATCAGATTTTTGAGAAAAATTCTAAGTATGCAGTTTTAAATCCCATTATATTTTAGTATAACATAGTGCAAGCTTGAAGTTGCCAGAAACCTGCGTTGATTTTTGGCAATTTTTTCACGCAGTTTCTTCCATGCAAATTATGTGCGACATTTTTTTTTTTGTATGGAAGAAACTGCGAATAAGAAATTGTCAAAAAACAAAGGGGTTCTCTAGCTATTCAAGCGTGCACTTTATTATACCAAAATTAAATGCGCTATAAAACTGCATACTTAAAATTTTTCTAAAAAATCTGATTTGAAAGTAGAACTTCATACTAACTATATTTTTATAAAAAACAATCAGAGAAGAAATCAGAATAAAAAACTTTGCATTCACGGTGAAAAATTCTCTGTGCCAATATTTTTTTCGCGGCACTGTATATGTGAAGATAATAAATATTAACAAATATAAATAAATATTAACAAACTATCTATTAACAAATTAACAATTAAATAAGAGGGGTTTAATATATATTATAAAGTTGCTGAATTTATTTTTTATCTTTTTTGCCGATAGGCTGCCAATTTTTTTTGCCGGTCGTGTGCATATTGGAAGTGCTTCTTTGAAACGGAAATAAAAACTTCTTCGTGGGAGTTAAATTTTTGACGAAAAGCACCTAAGAAAATAAAGTGAAAGATTAAACTCCATTGGAAACCGGAAAATTTAATTAAGTAAAAAGTGGTAATAAATAATATTATGATCCGTACTTCTTATTGCCGCAGTCGTTGCCAAACCAATAGCGCTGCTTTTGGTACCAGTTCCCTTCCACGAGAAAAGTTTTGCTACCTCATCTGTAATAATTTTTTTTTAATGAATCATTTATTGACGCTCGTACGGATAAGGCTTCGGATTTCGCACGCCTTTTTAATTGAGAAGCCATATTATGAATAAAACATTAAGTTCATTAACTGCAAAGACCTAATAAACTAGCAAATTAAAAAAATAAATAACTATAAACTTACGAGATAGGGGAATTAAACGTTTAAATCCTTTAGTGTTACTCCGCGCAGCCTGTGAAAGAATTGCAAAACTCGTTAAATTAATTTGCATTATTGAATTACATATGTAGTAGCTACTTACAAGAAGTTTAATTATAAAAGAAAGTGGTAGATCGTCCTTGGCGTTTGCACCAGTCTGCCAATAAATCACATACTTAATAATTTTCTTAAATTGAATATTTAACAAACTACTTATAAAATATTGTGATTGAAGAAAAATTGTCAACAAAACTAAAATTTTTTCTTGTGCTGACAAATTACTACAAGCCTCTTTCTATTATATTTTTTTTGTTTTATCGTTTACGAGCTTTTCTCTAACTATTTGGCGATACGAGAATCCCTCGTAAAACATAATGTTCGTAAAATGTATGTTTTCTTGCTGGCTGGGTATGTATACACAAAAGTATGTATGTATGAAAATAATTTGTATAAATTAAAAGCAGGTTTCATTTGCATCGCTTTTATTTTGCTCACAGTCAAGAATTTTTAATTGCATTATTCAATTTTTTATGAAAGCTTTCAAATGCTCTTGAGCGTATGTACTATGTACATATGTGCGTGTGTATGTTTGCATTCTTTGCAAAATGAATATTTTTTATACACTTGTTAGTGGCTAATGGCATGTACATGCGCATGCACTAAGTATATGAATCTGTGTGGGTGTATGAGATACTACGAATTATGTTAGCAAAACAAAATGAGCACAAAAATACAACTAAAGTGGGGTTAGATAGAAGTTCGCTTAGTTGTTATACTTAGTGTTGTTGCGAAATTTTTTTAAGGTGGAAAAAGTCCGACGATCGGAGACGCGAGTGAATATTTTGCTGATCTTCAAGATTTCTTTAAAAATAATTACAATAAAGAGCAGTTTTTCGAAATTTTAAATATCGCGCAAATGTATGATATTGATCTAGCTAAAATCGATTGCCAACGAATTATTGAAATATTCAGATTTTTTTTCACTTTTAAAACTTTTTCACACATTTTTAAGATTTTTTACAATTTCCTCAATATTTTTTCACGAATGTTCGCGATTTTTTGAGATTTTCGGGCATTTCCAAACGTTTCGGGATTTTCTCAGTATTTTCTTGGAGATTTTTTTAAAAGTTTTCTTTTAATGTTGAATTTTTTTCTTAATTTTCAGGATTTCCGAGATTTCTTAGGACTTTTTGAAATTTTAAAAAACTTTTGCAAGTCTTCTGTGTGTCTTTTATTTTTGGTCAATTTCGAAATACGAGTATTCAGTTCTTTGCATAATTTTTTGGTCTTTACGGGAGGTTTTAGGACTTCCCTTTGCTTTTTGTCGACCTTTTTAAACTTTTCGAGATTTTTTCAGTTTTTTTTTTTTGAAACTCAAACGTGTTGGTGCTTTTTTGTGAGTATTAGTTATTTTTTTTCTCTTTTTGGGATTGACAGTACTTTTTTAGGACTTCGCTGGTTTTGTTTAGAATTCTGAGGCTTTCCACACTCATAAAAAAGTTAGAGATTTTCTTTGGTGCTTTTGGTATAAGGAGTTTTTTTTACCATCATTTTTCAGGTTGCAGTGTGTCTCCTTTTTCTGTTTTTTTTTCAGGATTTTGCCTGTAGAACTTTGAAGATTTTTAAAATTTCAGTCTTTTTCGATAATTTTCCGGGACTTGAGTGTGCTTTTAGAAGTCTTCCTAATTTTGTTTCCCTTTGAGTATCGGTAGCTGTCTTATGACTTTTTCAGAGCTTTTATTTTATTTATTATATGTGAATTTATTTTCCTTTCCCATTACCTTATCACATGGGTTTATTTTTTTTGTTAATTCTAATTCTATCCATCGTCTGCCGCCAACGCCAACGCCCCAGCCATTGGCATAGAACGGCCTTCAACTTGAGCGGCTTTGGGTGTAAATAAATAAATGAAACAGAGTTTGATTTCTCGTGAAGCTTAAAGCTCTTTGCCAACACACACACACACACACAAACACATAATACTCGTCTTCATGCACTTGCTTGTATGGAGGAGATTATTTTCTAAAATTCCACATTCAGTGCATCAACAGCATTTGCCGCGTAAGCACATCGAAAAATAGCAAAAATAACTTTAAAATATAAAACTTTTCCGCCCTGTGTCTATCTAATCGATACATTGGCGCAACATGAGCATCTTTATTGCATTGCTAGCGATTGTAATCGCGCTGATCTTCTACTTTCTCAAATATCAACAGTCCTACTGGCGGCGGCGTGGTGTACCCCACGATGAGCCCAGCTTTCCTATGGGCGCTCTCAAGGAGTGGCGTCATACGAAATCGTTTTACGAGGTACTCGCGCCGGTTTATGAGAAATTCAAGGGCACCGGCCCTTTTTGCGGCATTTACTTTCTCATACAACCCGTTGTATTCGTGCTCGACTTAGAACTGATCAAAAAGATACTCATCAAGGACTTTAGCAATTTTCAAGATCGCGGTGTTTTTCACAATGAAGTCGAAGATCCGCTTACCGGCAATCTCTTCCAGCTGGACGGCCCGAAATGGAGTGGGCTGCGTAAAAAGCTTTCGCCCACCTTTACCTCCGGCAAAATGAAGTTTATGTTCCCAACCGTCGTCGAAGTGGCTCAGGAGTTCATCAAGGTAATGGGCGAGAAATCCAAAGACGCGCCTGATAACATCTTGGAGATCACTGATCTGCAAGCGCGCTATACCGCCGATGTTATTGGCTCCTGCGCGTTCGGCATCGAATGCAATAGTCTGCGCAACCCGAATGCTGAATTTGTGAAAATGGGTCGCAAGGCGTTGATCGAGCGCAGACACGGTAAGCTGGTCGACACGTTCATGGAGAGTTATCCACGGCTCGCGCGGAAGTTGAATTTGTGCTCGCTGACTAAGGATGTACACGACTTCTACATGGGCATTGTGCGTGAAACGGTTGAGTATCGCGAGCGAAATGAGGTGAAGCGCAATGATTTCATGAACATACTGTTGGAGATGAAGAACAAGAATGGCGAAGGTGATGGATTGACGGTGGAGGAAATTGCAGCGCAAGCATTCATATTTTTCCTGGCTGGGTTTGAAACCTCTTCCACTACAATGGGGTTTGCTCTCTACGAACTGGCCAGACAGCCAGAGATACAGGCTAGACTACGACGGGAGATAAACGAGGTGCTGGAGCGACACAACAACGCATTTACCTATGAGGCCATACACGAAATGAAATATCTCGATCAAGTTGTCTCAGGTAAAATTAATGAAAAAGACATAACAGTTTTCGTTTTTTCCACCATTTTTTCTTTTTACTTCACTTAGAAACTCTTCGCAAGTATCCAGTACTGCCGTGGGTGGAGCGCATCGCCAAGGCTGACTATGATACCGGCGACTCGCGTTATCTGATCGAGAAGAATATGCCTATCGTTATACTCACCTATGGCATACATCACGATCCCGAGTACTATCCCGAGCCCGATAGGTTTGATCCCGAACGATTCACTGAAGAGGAAATTAATAAACGGCCCTCATGCACTTGGCTGCCATTCGGTGATGGACCTCGCAACTGTATCGGTTTGCGTTTTGGCAAAATGCAGGCATTCGTTGGGCTCGCATTGCTGTTGAAGAACTTCAAATTTTCTTTTGCACCTCAAACACAAACTAAGTTGTCCTACAATAAGGAAAATGTATTGTTATCGGCAGAGCACGGCATTCATCTGAGGGTTGAGGCTTTATAGCGTAAGAACACAGTTGGAAAGAGAAGCAAATACGGGGCAAATTTGAAAGTAATTTTAAAATAAATTTTAAATAAATAGAAGTGAAAACCGATTTTAAAATAAAGTTAAGAATTTTTTTTACACGTGGAAACACTTTTTGTGCCTCAAATTTTCTAGCAACGTAAACTAAGAATTAAAAGGACAAGTAAATATGTACATACGAATTCATTTAACGCACGCCTTGTTGTCGCTATTATTTTTCTTGGTTATTATTATTATTACTATTATTATTTTATTTTTGTAAGTAAAAATCCCGTCCCCTATGTATGTGTGTATGTCCAGAAGAAAAGTTCGCCGTGCACCTACGAATCTATACGGAAAGCAACCTAAGAATATTTCAAATTTAAATTATATAAAAAAAATCACAAGCTTCAGTTGTCATGGCAACAGTAGTAGTTTTATAAAAGTCACTAATATTTTTGCCACTCTCACAGCGATCCAGTAGCGCAATTTCAAGTTCATTGAGCACCCTGTATTGGTTACAGTGGGAAATTTAAAGTTACATATGGATATTACAAATATCAAAATGAAAAACGTAACGGTGTGTCCCATTTGGTAGGATGAAATTTTTCCCCCCATAGAAAAATTGGGACATTTTAATGTACTTATATATATTACACCGTACCACCCTACAGGCAAACAAAAAAGATTGCCGTTCACCTTCGAATCTCAAATATTTTTGCATGGCAATTTCGAAAAAACAAAAAACTTTAGTATTTTTACGTCATACCTTCGGCACTTTCATTCGGATCTTAAAGTATGATATATCGATATTCTTAGCTCGAGGATTAATTTTTTTTTTTTTGTTCCGAAGTTTATTTAACTCAAGTACCCCTTTCTTGCCCACCAGAGCTCAGTTCTTATCACCCTAACGTACCACCCTAATGTCAGTGAATTAAAAAATCATTAAACTTTTGCTAAAGAAGTATTTCGATTATTCCAGTAGAAATATTTATTTAAGAAAAAATTCTTTTATTGTCGAATGCAAATGTCGCTGAAAAAATTATTATAAGACCACCCCTATGGTTGGCCAATAAAAAAATTTCGAAATTGCTTTGCGAAAAATATTTTAGATTCGAAGGTGGACAGCGATCTTTTTTTGGTTTCTTTTAAGGTGGTACGGTCTAATGTACACACATATTTACTTACTTAGCTGCTTTCCGAAAATGTGCCAATAATGGGAAAATAATTTCATGAGGTAAATATTAAACAGAATGAATAAGTCAGTGTGAGGGCAGGACCAGGATGAATGTATTTGCATAAAAATTTATTAAAGAAAAAATGTTTCGGGTAGGCGTCGGAGCCAATGATAACCATCAGTTACCACCTCTGCATGGTTGTAAGTCATGCAGAGTCCCTACGGCTAATAGCGCTGTGGCTTTGCCGCTTGAACTCTGTAAGAGTTTTTGGGGGTGTGCGTCAAGCGGGAGTGTTGAGCATTGGTTATTTATTTAGGTTCAAAAATTGGGTAGGCGCGGTGGCCAATGGTAGCTCTTGTACCACCTCTGTATGCTGAAAGTCATACAGAGCCCCAAACAGCTTGTAGCGGCTTTGGCTTTTGCTGTTTAAAACCACTCCGGTGGAGTGGTGATGCATCAAGCGGAATTGTTGAGCATGATTTGGAGTGCCAGCAATTAACTACTTTAGTAGGTTTTGTTCTGCGGAAGTTGAGAAGTGCATTAAAAATGCATACCCAATGAAGAACGAACGAATTATTTTTAAGCACAAGTGCGTGTGTTTATTCGCTGCACTTGGTTTTGGGCGGGAGTGCAATATACAAGTGCGTGTGTGTGTTCGCTGTTCTTTGTTTATGCGGGAAATGCATAAGTCGCTTAAACACAGAACAAAATATCGTTTTTGATCATTCGCTTAGACGCGCATGCAAGTAATCACGCGAGATTTTTAAATATCTAATCAAATATTGCTATTTTTTATTGGTGGTTATATAGCGAAGTGGCTTGCATATTAAAATTGTTGGTCTGCTTTTTGAACAAGTGCAAGCATTTTAATCTTTGAAATTAAACGATGTATGTACATATATTGTTTAATAAAATTGTAGATATACAATAAAACTTTATTTAACTGCTTGTTCGAGTACAAGGAGGGTATGAAAAGTAAACATATTTGATGTCATCCCACTGAAAATAGACTGAAACAAGAACGAATATATTAGTCATAAACCTCAATGAATTTTTAAATGCTTCTAGAGAAATATTGGCCAAAATGAGCTTTTACACTGTGATCGACAATACAAATGCGACTTCCTCTTTTTGATTGGTGGCAGAACCGTCTAAGAGTTTTGGTGTAAGTCCAATAAAGCAGTCCAGTCGATCCTTGTCGCAAATGCCGACAATAAGAAAGATGAACTGAAGCTAAATATATCTCTACTTAATCTGCCTTTCTCATCTTCTACCTCCTCGAATACTTTCAGAGCTGGAGCATTTGCATCCATTCGTGCGACATGGCCTAGCTAGCGTCAATGTTGCTGTAAGCATCCCGGGTAATTTTCATCACAAAGACGTAGAAGGCCTTAAATAGTTCGTTCAATCTTCATCTCAAACACTCCAAGAGCCACCTCATCAGAAAATTCAGATGCGCTTGCTTTCCAGCGTCCATTTGAAGAAGTTTAACGAGATTGGATCGCTTTTTCTAAAACCTCGTTGGGTTTCAAACGGAGCGGAAGGATCCTTTTCAATTTTGACGTCACTTTTTCGAGAGTTTTTACAAAATGTGACGAACTGTAGAAATCTGTTCAATGGTGGGTTTGAAGCCACACTGATAAGGCTTATTCAGTTCGTTGACGATGGGCTTCAGTCTTTCACACAATACGCTGACAACGTGGTAGTTGAAGCGAATGGGGGGACGTCGGGCATGCGTTTGTCTGACCATATCCTGCACAAGATTATTTAGCTCAGCTGGTAGGCTGTCAGCTCCAGCTGCTTTGTTGTTTTTCAAGCACGCTATTACTATTCGTACCTCGTCATAGTCAGGTGGTGGCACATCGACTACGTCATCATCGACTGGGGCCCGGGTTCGTCTTCTCCACAGCTTTCAGTGCTGCTACTTTCCATTGAATAAGGTGGAAAAGTGTTCCCTCCATAATTTAAGTACGTTCTGTACATCGGTAACTAGGTCGCCATTGTTGTTCTTACACGAGTACGACCTGGTCTTGAAACCTTCCGTAAGTCGCCTAACTCTCTGGTAAAATTTTCGGTCATTCTTCCCGTCGGCCAGTATTTGAAGCTCTTCGCATTCACGTATTTCGGCCTCTCTCTTCTTAATGCGGCAAATACGTCTCGCTTTCCTCTTCCATTCTCTATAGCGGTCCCACACAGCACGCGTTGCGCCCGATCGTAACACGGCCCTGTATGTGGCATTATTTTTCTCAGCAGCTTCTTGACACTCCTCATCGTACCAGCTGTTCTTTCGGGCTTGCTGAAATCCAACTACTTCTTCGGCGGTGGCGTCGTAATGTGCGGTGGTTCACTTCTCGCATAGATCGTTGTGTTGAAGAGTGATTTTACTCCTAGGCGCTCATAAAAACGATCGTTGGTCTTATCGTAATTATAATCCGTTGCTACTGTTGTTGAGTTCACCTTTTATGTGGATTGTGGAAATTCGCTCACTGTTAGAGGGGAACCTGTGTACAAGGTGTCGAAGTCTCGAAGCTCTGCACCCTGTCCTGGCAGCTATATGCATAAGATATCGCTTTCTTCCCGTCAACCTCGTTTTCTCCACTGCTTTGATATCCACCTTGTATTTTTGTAGGGCATCCAGCCATTGGATAGAGCCGCCACCTCGTAAATCGTATTCCCTATACCAGGAATGGGCAGATTTTTGGCTCTTAAAGCAGTCAATGAGCCAGCAAGAGCTACGCAAGGGGTAAGTCAGTTCTCAGGGTAAAGGGCATGCAAAAAAATACATTAAAAGCATTATTTATATAAGTGATGAGAGTTGGAGTACAAGAAACTTTAATACATACTTCTTCCACCTTCATGCTGGCTCTTGATGTTACCCCTCATCTAGCACCTAAATGTGCCAAGCCGGCTCCTATGTGCAAAAGGCTGGGAGCCACTTCGCCCGTTTCTGCCCCATACTAACACGTGATAATTTTGCACACCAAGTCAGCTTCTTGCCACTGTGATTATGTGGTTAGAGGTGCGTACTTCCACTCTATAGGGCCTGAGTTCGATCCCTGGTCCGAAAAATTAGAAAAATATTATTCTAACAACGGTCGCATCTCGGCAGGCATTGTCAAATCTCCGAATGTATTTCTGCCATGAAAAGCTTCTCATAAAGGCCCATCAAGGCGCACCCTCAATTCGGAGGAGAAGCTCGGCCAAACACTTAGCAAAATTTTAAACGCCAAAATATTTCTTATTATTTCATTTATTGCAAAAAACATTAGTACAATAAGATCTGCGATTATCATTAAGATCAGCTTCCCTTCATCAATATATTTCTTACACACGAACTAAGGTGCATCTTTTATGGCACACTCACCAGCAACTTGTGGACCTGTTTGCTCCAAAATAAACGTAAACATATGTATGTACATGTGCGCATATGTACATGCAAAGTCTGCATTGCGTGCAGCTGCACCTAAAGACATTACCGTCGCACTACAAGCCAAACCGCATTACGCCTTCACATTCTTTTTCTAACTTATGCACATCAATGACAAGCCAAATGTCCAACACGCGCTGTTACATCTGCGCACTCTGCTTTCACCGCCTGCTCCATTTATGCCGTAAAAATCCGGAAATTATAATTTTTATATTGATTCCTATTTTTGTCTTCGTTCTCAACTCAAAACTCTGGCGCAAATGTACCAACTATTTATGCTATTTAAGGCGCGCGGCACTCGCGTACCTGTTTCCACTGGCACAATTGCAAGAACCATCGATGGACGTGCAAGTCTTTATCGGCCTGCTTATTGGCCTGGCGACGATGATTGTTATTTGGTTCCTGCGTCAGCAAAGCTACTGGCGCCGTCGCGGCATACCGCACAGCAAGCCGATGATGCTGGCATCGTTGACGACGAAACATTTCACGCAGATATTGCGCGAGACGTACCAGCAATTTAAGGGCACCGGACCTTTTTTTGGATTCTTCCTACTCGCCACCAATACGGCGCTCGTAACCGACTTGGAATTGGTGAAGAAAGTGCTTGTTAAGGACTTTAACCACTTTTCTGATCGCGGGCTTTACAACAATGCTCACGATGATCCCCTCTCAGCGAATATGTTTTTCGCAGAAACTGAGCAATGGAAGCGTTTGCGCACAAAAGTGACACCCACCTTCACATCGGGTAAAATGAAGAATATGTTTCATATGGTGACTGCGGTGGGGGAGCGGCTTATGTCTACAGTGAGTGCATGGATTGGGGACGGTGATCCGCAAGGGCTGGGAAAACTGATGGATGTAACGGATTTGAGTGGACGCTACACCACCGATGCAATCGGAACTTGTGCCTTTGGACTAGAGTGCAACAGTTTGAGTGCCGAAACTCCAGAATTCGTGCTGGTCACGAACACTTTCACCCATCACCGTCGTCACAACAAAGTGGTTGAAGGTCTAATTTTCAGTTTTCCGAAAGTCGCACGCTTTCTGCGTATGCGCATTATGCCACAGCACGTGCATGACTTCTACATAAAACTGGTGCAGGACACGCTTGAGTACCGCAAACGTACGGCCTTGCGACGAAACGACTTTCTGGACTTACTTATCGATATGATGGAGTGCGAGGATGCAGACGGCAATCGCGTTGAGGGTCTGAGTGTGAACGAAATCGCGGCGCAGACTTTCGTCGTATTTCTAGCCGGTTTTGAGACCTCGGCAATTACAATGAGCTTTGCGCTATACCTGCTGGCACAGCACGTGGACGTGCAAGAGCATTTGAGACAGGAGATCAATGAGGTGCTCGCGTCAAACGACGATCGAATCACTTACGACGTCATTAACCAAATGGGCTATCTACAGCAAGTAATATTTGGTAAGCATTTCGGAGAGTTTTGCCTGTTATGTTCTGTTTAACTTTCTATCATACCCTATTTGCCTTTAGAAACGCTTCGTATGTACCCCATCGTGCCAAATCTTATGCGAAAGGCACAGTCGCACTACGACACCGGCGACCCAAAATACTACATTGAGAAGGGCACAATGATCATTATACCCACAATTGCCATACACTACGACCCCGAATATTACCCAGATCCTGAACGTTTCGACCCAGCTCGCTTTACAGCCGAAGAAATACAACGAAGACCTACATGCAGTTGGCTGCCCTTCGGCGAAGGTCCACGCAATTGTATTGGCATGCGATTCGGCAGAATGCAAACCAGCATTGGACTTATTTATCTTATACGCAATTTTAGATTTAGCACTGCCGCCGAGACGGAAATACCATGCCCGATGGAGAAGTCATCTTTTGTCGTTTCACCACAGAATGGTATAAAATTGAGAGTGGACAGGGTAGAGGACGCCAAGCCGATCGAGCGGTTGTGAGGGTCGAATAACACTGAGTTGATAGTAAATATATTTTTATTTTTAGGTTTTCTTTTTTATTAAATAAATTTAAGATTCTAGTTTCTAACTCCAACCATTTTAATTAGCGCAAAGGTAATAATCATGAGATTTGAGGATATATGACATACGAACATATATGCATTCTATTTCCAGGAATGTGGTCCGGATTAACCACTTTTTTTCTACTTAAACGCTTGATACGAGCCGAAAAAGCGATCCAATTTTATAAAGGTCTAATATGCGCTTCGAACAATTTTTAATAGACCGATTGCAGTTATTATTTTGTATTAGAAAGGTGTAGTCTCAAAGTTAGTCCGATATGAATTTGGGCCAGTTCTTATAATTTCGTCATTTTACAAAATTATGGAACTGTTGGATTTCTGACCACGTTAACGCATTTCGATGAAGCCGAAATTGTCTGTTAGTACATATATTTAATCTTCCAATCCGATATAAATATTTAGATATTCTGACAAAATTATTATTATTTTAATTTTTTTTCCTAAAAACTATCCTCTTGCCAATATTCCGGCAACTCACTATAAGTTAGAAGCTTTCGCTTTCATTACGTAGCCAAATGTTATTATCTAATAAGCTCATACATATGTAGATTTTATATTTTATCAAGCCACCCGACCAGTATGACCAGGTTAGCCTTTTTGAGGCTAGATTTAACATAAAATTGTATGCCATAGCCTCAGAAATTAAATTGGGACATCGTGGCTTTTTTCTGGGCTTTTCTTACTTGAAATATTCATTATAAAATTCGGACCGAAACTATAAAATTAAGTACCTAAGCTTACTAAAAAGCTTTAGTATTTCTAAAGCAACTATTCACAGTTGAAATATTATTTAATATTCTTTGAGAACAGACGTTCTTAGCTTTTTAAAAAATGATACTAAGAAATTCGCTTTCAACCATATTTTTACAATTCGATTTGTTGGCGTACTAATTGTGTACTCTGATTTAGAAAATATTCAAATATTTGAATTTTTCTTATACTAAACTAAACTTTTTGCTGTGTTTTGATGAGAATGATTTAAAAAGGTTGTTTACAGAAAATCGGTTTGCGGAACTTATTGAGTTTTTATATAATGAATATACTGACTTCTTTTTAACTTCAATTTTCATAGCGCGTAACTTGTTCTAACCATTTTTAAAAACGAATTTAGCTTCGCTCTTGCGATCATCTGGTCACACTGCTCCCGACCACTCTCTGCCCACTCTCTGCCAACTCTTATCAACACTCCATCACAAACAATAGCAATACTTCACATCGCCGCTGAGCTATCGAAACCAGCACTGGTGAGCTCTTACCTACTCCCAAATTCAGTTACTTACCGACCTTCGTACAAGCCGGTTAAACGGTCTGTCTATTGGTCAAATCTAAAAATCATATTCTGGCACGCACACTCACACACAGCTGCTATGTTGGCTTACTATTTGATAATAGCGCTCTATGCGATCTTAACGCTATTCATGATGGTTGTTGGTATGCTACGTTCGCGTATGCTCTATTGGCGCCGGCGCGGTATACCACACGATCAGCCGGCTTTTATAATTGGAAATCTGAAAGGTTTTACGATCACGCGCCAACTCGCCGAAATATTACTTGAAACATACAATAAGTATAAAGGCGGTGAGGGTCCCTTTTGTGGCTTTTATTTGCTTGTCAAACCCATCGCACTTGTGACGGATTTGGACTTGGCACGTAATGTGCTCATAAGGGATTTTCATAAGTTCGACGATCGCGGTTTATTCCACAACAAACGAGATGACGCAATTTCGGAGAATCTTTGGAACTTGGAACCAGCAGAGTGGCGCGCATTACGCAAAAAACTTTCACCCATCTTTGCAAGCGCCAAGATGCAGCTCATCTTCCCAATCGTAGCGAATGTAGGCGAGCAGCTAACACGAACTTTTTCCAACCTACAAAGCGTTGACGCCGAACAAGATATGTACGAGTTGTTTCAGCGTTATACAACGGACGCCATTGCCAGCTGCATATTTGGAGTGGAGTGTAATAGTCTCAGTAGTCCGGATACGGAGTTCCGTGCGTTTACGTCACACGTGTCTTCGAAATCTCGCCACAATAACTTTGTGCATGCGCTGATGCAGTGTTTGCCCAGACAAGCACAACGATGGCGAATGAGACAGACGACGGACGAAGTGCACAACTTTTACTCCCACTGGGTAGGCAAGACGATTCTGCAACGCGAGGAGCAGAACATTAAGCGCAATGACCTCATGCAGGCGCTTATCGAGTTGAAGAATGCGAAACAAGAGGAAACTCGGCTCAGCATCACGGAAATTGTTGCGAATTCCGCATTATTCTTCAGCGCCAGTTATGAGACCACTTCTGTGACAATGACCTTCGCGCTTTACGAGTTGGCCGCCAATCAGCATGTGCAAACCAAGTTGAGAAAGGAAATTGAGGAGGTGTTAACGAAACATGGCAATGAGGTGAGCTATGAATCACTGGCCGAAATGAAGTACCTGGATATGGTAATCGCAGGTAGAGAATAAGCGAAACCGTGAAGTTTGGTCTCAATCGAGTTAACTATTTCTTTTATTATTTTTACAGAAACTCTGCGGAAATATCCAATCTATCCGTATCTCGAACGCGTTGCAAACGAGGATTATGAAACCGGAAAACCAGGATTTATAATATACAGCGGCACCAAAGTTCTCATACCGGTCGATGCTATACAACACGATCCGGCTATATACCCGCAACCGGCGAAATTCATGCCGGAGCGTTTCGATACGGAAAACCTACGTCAACAGCATCCGGTTGCTTGGCTGCCCTTCGGCGAGGGACCACGTAACTGTATTGGCATGCGTCTTGGTCACTTGCTCATCCGTATTGCGCTCGTGTCACTGCTCAAAACGCACAAATTTGCGACATGCTCTCGTACTGCCTCAACGTTGGCCTACGAAGGAGCAAGTCTGCTACTGAAGCCCAAGAGCGATGTGTACTTACGCGCAGAGAAACTTTAATGCGTGAAAGCTCGTTGTTTGGGAGAGTCGAAGCAAAGAAAGTTGTAGTTAAATTATTTCAGATAACGATAAAAATAGTTCAACTTAGGTTTTAAAAATAGTTTTAATTCAAGAAAAGTTACCAGTTTGTTATTGTATAAATATGTATGTATGTATGTATATTTCTTTCTCTTAAATAAAAAAGAAATCATTTTGGAAGTATTAAACCATGAAACAGTAAATTTTATACACAAGCGAATCAATGTACTCGCGAAACTAGGTACCAAATATAGTAAAACTGCGTTTTTAGTTTTTATATACGACGTCAGGATTTTTTTTAAAGACACGGATATCAAATAAAAGAGAAAATTCTGCACAATTTTCGTTTGAGAATATCCTTTTCGAACTTTATCCTTGAATATCCTAAAAATTTCAAGTATTTATTTATGAAAAATTTAAATATTGTACGCCGCCACATCCTCGAATTTCGTCCTTCTAACTTTAAATGGTTTAAGATAAAAACATTTACAAAAAGGCAATTTTCAAAACCTATCGTTCTTGTGAAACAAAAAATTAAATTTTTGTTATTTTGTCATAATTTTTTTTTAACAATCAATCATGTTCTTAAAATTTCAAAGTCCTTAAACAACTCTGACGGCAGCGATAAAAAAATAAATTTCACTGTATTTGGCCCCTGGTTGATTTTTTGATTTTTTTTTTTTTTTTTCGCACGGTGTAACACAAAGCCGTGGAAATTACTGAAGGCTTATGTCGTTTGTATACTTATATTAACTCATCACCTAAATATACATATTTGCTTTGTAAAATAAAAAGACATCTTCAACCTCTGCCAAAGCATTGGCCTTTGCCAATTTTATTTCAATTCCTCCACTCTCAGGTAGATACCGTTAAGCGTACTGATTAAAAATGATTTCACGTTCATCTTCAAAGGTATCTCAGTTTTGTCGCACACACTAAAGCGATATTTGCACAGCAAATGCGCTAAGCCGACGCGGATCTGCATGCCACCAAAACGCTTACCAATACAATTACGAGGTCCATCGCCGAACGGCAGCCACTCAACGCTTTCACGCAGATCCCGCTGCTCCTGCGTGAAACGTTCTGGATCCCATTGCTCAGGATTTGGATAGATATTCGGATCGTAGTGTATACCCACAGTTGGTATAATCACTGACATACCCTTTTTGATGACAAAGTTTGGATGGCCCGGCACTGCGTAGTCGGACAAAGCTTTACGGTTAAGAATTGGCACAACGCTGTATTTTCGGAGCGTTTCTAAAAGCAGCAGTTCGAAAAAAAAGTATAGAAAATAACGATGTTAAACAATGTAAATTTGTTAGTGAATAGCTCTTCCAACTCACCCAACACCACCTGATCCATATACTTCATATCCTGCAGGCATTCGAAAGTGAATTCGTTGTTGTGCTTGGCTATTGTCCCCAAGACCTCGCGTCTCAAACGCTCTTGCAGCGAAGGCTTTTGCGCCAACTCGTACAAGGCGAAAGCCATTGTAGTCGAAGACGTCTCAAAACCAGCTATGAAGAATACAAATGCCTGTGCTGCCATCTCCTCGATCGTTAGACACTTTTCTTCGCCGTTATCGCCACGCAGCTTTTTGTCGTTTCGCAAATCGATGAGCAGGCTCATGAAATCGTTGCATTTGATGTTGTTTTTCTCGCGGTACTCGACAGTTTCTCGCACAATTCGCATAAAGAATTCAATTACATCGTCGTTTATCGCGCGCATGCGCAGCCAACGCGCCAAATCGGGAAAACTGTGCATTAAACCACCAACAACTTGTCCATGACGCGCTTCGCTGAACGAACGTCGTCCCATGATGCGAAACTCCGCTTCGGAATCGCGCAACGAATTGCAAACGATGCCGAAGGCCACTTTGCCGATGATATCCGTGGTGTAGCGTGCCAGAATCTCCTTCAGCTCGACGACATTGTCTTCCAGCAGCTGCTCACCCATCACTTCCACCAAATTCTGCGTCACCTCAATCATCATAGGCAACATCAGCTTCATCTTGCCCGAGGTAAACGCGGACGAGAGCTTTGCACGCAGACTGCGCCACTTGTGGCCATCCAGCAGGAATAGATGCCCCGACAGCGGATCGTCGCGTTCATTATTGAACATACCGCGATCGGCGAAATTTGCAAAATCCCTAATGAGCACATTTTTTATCAGCTCAATATCCAGCAACACCACTGCCGGGCACTGAAAGAAATAGAAGCCGCAAAACGGTCCAGTGCCTTTATACTTCAAATAGACGTTGCGGCTAATGTCGGCAAAGCTGATGGTGCGCTGAGCGCCCACCAAGTTGCCGAGCAGCCAGCTTGGCTTGTCGTGTGCTATGCCCAGCCTGCGCCAGTAGTTGAAGCGGCGATGGAAGAAAATATACAGCGTTGCGAGCAAGATGGCAATGAGCGTCAGCAGCAGCGCGGTCATTGACATTGTGAATTGCGAAGTGGGTGCGTTTACTGGCTGGGTGTGTCTTGCGGCTAATTTTATTTTGGGTGTCACTCTTCCGTCGGTTGGTTTTGCTTTTGTTTTCCCACTCAATGCGGCATTGCATTGCTTCTTCGATTGTCACCGCCGCTTAACAACTGAGCGCTGCACATTCTGGCAGCCCAATTTATAAACTTTTGCAAGCGCTTTCTGGGTTGTAATCATTGCATGATTTCGAAATTAAAAGAAAATATAAAATGCTAAAAATAAAAACAACAGTACGTCTTAATGGCGGAAAGAAAGTTGAAGAGTTGTAGGCAAGGAAGAATTGGTGTAATGTTAATGCATCCAAATTGAAATGCACTGGGCAGAAAACGAAGCGTTAACTTAAATATTGGTACAACAAAGCTCTGCTGCGTTATTGAAATTAGTTTTAAGGCATATCTTCTAACCGCTGTAAACTTAAAATACATAAGCAATATTATCGTAGTCATGTTAGTTACAATACAATTGCGTTAACGATAACGATAAATGTATCGATAGTAGTAGCGATAGATGTGTTGGTAAGTATGTAAGTTGCATGTACATATATCGAAATTAACTTACGAAATAGGAAAGCAAATACGAATACGGACTCGAATATGAGTATGAATGTGTTACCGATAAATGTAATAAATTCAATATAACCATATGTATCCGTAACGATAAAAACAAATATATGTATCGAAAACATTTCGCCAAAGTATCTAAATATATCGACAAAAATATAAGAATTTATTTATCGAAAATTATATTGACCAGGAAATCGATACCTGTATTTCAGTATATCGATGTTAGTAAGATAAAGTTATCGATAAATATAGTCCATGCAACACAACAAAATATAACCATTACGATAGAGGTAAATAAATCTATTGGTGAAATCTCGATAAATAGACATAAATATTAATCGATAAATTATGACACGAATACATACGTATGTTAAAAGTTTCGATAGATATGTCCATATGTATGTCGGCCAATAAGTGTATTTAGAGTATATACATACACATGCGTATGTATGTAGGTCAATAAATATATCGACCGAAATTTGAACAAATTGAAAAATACTAAATTGACAACCAACGTCATATCGAATCCTACATTTTTCAAGTTTTCGTTTTTTTTTTCTCAAGTACTCTTTTTTGCCGAAGTTTTCGGCTGTAAATGGCTATGTTTTTTCTTCATTCAATACATTTGTATAATGCATTCACTTTCCTGCTGTTTTATTTTACTAAGTAAATGCTTGAGACACTCTTATCGTTACTATTTATATACTGGACAATCTGAATACGCGCTCCGCTCGCGAAAATATACTACATACATACATACATATGTGCTTGCTAGGGATGTTGCGAGTGTGGAATTTTATATATCCGCGGATGCGAATGACTTAGGCAAGTGAATTAGGTAACTTAGATAAATGAAAAAATGGAAAAATGAGTAAATTAGTAATTTAAAATTTGGAGCTTTATATTTGCCTTTTCGGGTTCCAGCGCGTTTCTTAAAGGGTCGTAAATCAAACCTGCTCCACTAAACAACTGCTCGGTTGGCGAAAAAATTGTCCTCCACTGAACCCTCACCGAGGATGCCGACTGGCAATGGATACTCCAGTATGTTCTGTGCATTATCAGGACGGTATCTAGATAAGATCAGGGAGAATCGCAGGTAGGCTCGCTGCTTATCAATAGCGGTGTTCTTTGACTGTATTTCTAGGGTGCCTCACTGACACCGAGTCGCCTCAGTGAGTAACGGTCACCCTACCATGGCATGGGGCGCTTCCATGGCGGACGGTTTTTTGCCTCTTTTTACTCGCTAGGTCACTGCATCGGACCGTCCCTTTCTGGGTATAGCCCGCGCTGTTTCCTTGTTTCTTGAATGAACAACAACAAACAAGTCTAGGACAACAACAACCAAGAACACGACGAAAAGTGTAGGTCCACGCGACGCAGCAAAAACGTACAACGCTGGACACTTGCTGGTGGTGGCGGCAAATATCTGCGCACAAAATTTAAAAATATTTTTAATTCATTGCGACTGACGCTCCAACAGTTGAGATGACTTGCAGCTATGTTAATTCTTTTTTTTATTGCTGTACAAGAATAGCATAGAGGCTGCTAATGTCGGACTTCCAATTATCGTCCAGAGTTTGACAATTATCTCATAAATTAAATAAATCTGTTTGTTTCCGAGCTGTAAATATACATATATACTTTTTATCCGCATTGATTATAGAATGTTACAATGCGAATGCGAATATTTGCGATAACCCTGCTACATGCACATATGTACATAGGTATACATAAGAAAGTGGCTTTAGATACCTTAAACCAAAAATTTCTCATACTGCCGATATGAAATTGCAGTTGTACTTACATATTTACATACAAACATAAGCTGTTCCAGCAATAAAAGTATCAGTTGAAAAATATAACCCACTTGTAATTAGCATTTTTGCGGCATTTCGATAAAATTAAACTGGTTGAAAGGTAAACGAATCATGCTTTTTTTAATATCCTGATACAAAATTTTACTTTGAATACACTTTTTTCTGAACTTCACAAATACTTTTTTCGAATTCAGAACTAGTATATCTGACGAAATCCGGATATAGGACCACCTACAGCAGAATATGTAAACAAATAAAAAAATTAGCAAAATGTATTTATTGATATTTTATGTCCAAAATTAGTTAGTTACAAGTTAGTTTACATGTAATGCAGAGGTAGCCAGGTCTGACTTTTTTCCGGCCATCGCCCCACAAAAGTAGTTAGCTTTTTTCGAACATAATATACAGTTAATAGTTAGCACTAGTGTTCACGGAAACATACTAAAATTTTGTATAAGCTAACGTCATTCCCTGCAGGGTAGTAAATAATTAAACAAGCAAACATTTTTATATATTGTTCTTCTAATAGTTAGATACAAATAAAACTATATGTAGTCAGCTTACCTCAAAGAAAATATACAGATAATAGTGCCCTTTAGTTCCTTCCCAATCAACTTCAAGTTAACTTATTGTTAGATATATTTCCTGCAGGGGTGTAGCAAAAACACATACATATTTCGTAAATATGTTTGTGTTTATAATACACATATGTGCATATGTATACAAATATAAATAGAGATAAAAATGCGTTAAGCACCTGCAGATAAAAAGCAAATGCATGCAAAAGTGAGAACTCATTTGTACACTAGAGTGGTTCTATTTGTAGCGGCTTGCTTAGATGTCGATCGACTGGAAAGTTAATGAAATTAGTATCCCCTTCAAAGCGTAAAATTTTAACCCTCTCAGATGTTTTAATGTATCTCAAACTGTAGTTTTGTTAAGTTTTCGATATACAGTAACTATGTCGTCCCGTTTCTGCGTTAACCCGTATCTACATTTCTATTACAGTTACGAGGTTAACGTAGAAACGGGACGATATGTAGATAAGTATGTATATAAGACCGCCTCTTCGAACCCAGAGAGTTCGCTACTCTACGCATTAGAAACTGCTGAGAAAGTTACTTTTGGAAAAACTTGTTCAAAAAATCCTATTCAGCGTCTATATATTTATGCCAAAAGGTTTAGTAGGACTGGTCCTGTTCGAGTGGTCTCTAAAACCATTGGGAAGCGAGAAGCTAAATGACGAAACAAACCTAAAGTAAATAAATTTGTTATTCATACAAATTTTCGATTTATAAAGCTTTTAAAGTGTTCTTAATTTTTACAAATTTGGATGTACGATTTTTAGGCAAAGATTGTATGATGGGATAATTTTTTGAATATTTCAGAGTTTTTTTTTAAAGCACTTAATAAAAGTGAAATTTTTTGTTAGCATTGCCTGTGTCTAAATATGTGCATACATATGTGTAGGTATAAATTAGAGTGTCTAGTTAAAAAAAGGCCTTTGCGGGAATCCGTTCCGTAAAACAGTCTTATGAGTCAGCGGTCTTACAAGCATGCAATCTAACTGGGGAATATGAATATCTTTGACTTCATAAAACAATAGTACTACACGCACATATATATGTATCGCATTAAGAGGCACTTGTTGCTTCTTGAAAATATGCCGATAAGCTATGTCTGATCTTAATGATCGTCGAAAAAAAAATTTCAATTGTAATTATGTGATTTTCAAAAAAGTACAAATATTTTTATTTAACGCTCACACCTGTCCACATCATAGTCATAGCTGATAAGTGAGATAAATATTGGAAATTCCTCTAGCCTTTTTTTTTTTTGAGGGCGTATGGAGAGCGAACTTCACCACTTGAGTCACCATTCAAAAGCAATGTGAAATGATCCCTCTGTACCTCATATTTTTTCTGGCCATCTGTCTGCTGACTTCTATTTTCATCACTGCAGGAAATAGCCCCGTTCTTGGAATCCTGTTGACTGCTGCCTAAGTATTCGCTAAGTATTTCGTAACTCATGCTCCACCCCAAAAAGATCTATTGTGCTAAGCTCTATGTAGAATCCCTCGAACCTTAGGCTACTTATAAAAGTAAGAGTCTTTTGGAGTTCCTCCTGGAAGGCGTCATGAGTTTCTTTCATTGTCTCACACCCTTTGAATTTCGACAGTGTGTACCAATCTGAGATTCCTCCCAGCTCCTAAGTTGTTCTGCAATGTGTATTTGGGCTCCACGTTTTGGAAAGCAGCCAGCCTTTGGTTGCCCTCAAACACTTGATGCCCACAGACGCACCGCAGCATTACTTTTTGTGGGCTCCTGGGTGGGAGTTTTACAACTGCCCGCAAGCCTTGATGCCGTTCAAAATGAGTCTAGGACATTTAGTGCCGCCTGGCTAAGCAGTAAATATAAAGTTAAAGACAACGCCCAAAAATATGGGTAGACATCGTGAAGGATGTCGGTAAGACCTACGAACAATTAACACGCCGCACCAGCATACTTTTCGACCCTAGAAAAATAATTTTTTAAGAGCGTACTAATTCAAATACCATTTCTACTATCATAAAAACTATATTTGTGATAGTAAAAAGTCCCGTAATTAATAAACCAAACTTAGTCTGCCTTTATTTAAGTGTTTAAATTTGTGTAAATATACACTTTTATCCTAAATAAGTTTTCAATAACTGTTTTATGCCACAACGTATGTGTGTTTAGCAATACACATTGATAGCAATTTCAACAAAAAATATAACAAACTCGCCTAGCCATATCACAACTTATCCACTTGCAGGTAAATGCCATCTTGAGAGCTCACTAGGAAGCTGCTCTTATTGAGCACCATCGGTATTGGCGTCTTGTCACACACAATAAACTTGAAATTGCTCAGCAGACATGCTAAACCGACACGCGCCTGCATCTGGCCAAACCGCATCCCAATGCAATTGCGTGGCCCTTCACCGAAGGGTAAAAACTCAATGACATCACGTTGCGCTACCTCTTCCGGCGAAAAATGTTCGGGATCGAATTTATCCGGGTTGGTATATAGATCGGGATCGCGATGCATAGCGCCAGCGGGTATCAACACGCGCATATTCCGCTTAATGACATACTTCGGAAAGCCAGGCACAGGATAGTCTTCCAGGCATTGGCGATTCAATATTGGCAGCACAGTGTATAAACGTAAAGTCTCTGCAATTTATAATACAATTAAAAGTAAAAATGGGGTTCTTGCCTTCAGCTAAGCAGAATAAAAATCTAAGGCCTACCTGATATTATCTGGTTCAAATAAGTCATTTCGCTCATACACTCGTAGGTCAGTTTGTTGCCGTGACGCGCTATCACCTCCAAAATTTCGTCCCGCGCCCGCTGTTGTACGTCTTCGTGCTGTGCCAGCTCGTACAATGCGAAGCTCAGTGTGGTCGACGACGTCTCAAACCCGGCTATCAAGAACAAGTACGCCTGCGCCGCCAGTTCCCCAACAGTAATACTCACCTCCTCACCATCTTCTGACTTCAGCAACTTTTTATTCTTCAGATCCAGCAACATATCGAAGAAATCATTGCGTCTAATGCCATTCTTCTCACGGTATTCGATATTTTCGCGCACGATACCCATGTAGAATTTGGAAATGTGGTCGGGTATAGTTTTTATGCCCAAAAATATCGCCACGTTCGGGAAGGTGTTGATGAAAGCGCGCGTTCGCGGCCCTAGTCGCTGATCCGTCACTGCCTTGCGACCCATCACACGGAACTCCGAATTGGGATCCTTCAAACTATTACACTCCACGCCAAAAGCACAGGTGCCAATCACATCGGTGGTAAAGCGTGCCATCAAATCTTTCATTTCGATTACAGCGTCCTGCTTTTGCATATCAGCTAGTAAATTTGTAAGCTCTTCAGCGATTTTGACAATAGTCGGAAACATCATCTTCATTTTGCCCGAGGTGAATGCAGGCGACAGCTTATTTCGCATACTCCGCCATTTGTGGCCATCCAACATGAACAGCTGGCCCGAGAGGGGATCGTGCTTTGGGTTGTGGTAAAATCCGCGATCCGTGAATTTGTTAAAATCTTTAATCAGCACCAGTTTAGCTAAATCTGGTGTCAATACAAAAGCAGCTGGGCCTGCACCCCAATAGAAGCCACAAAAGGGGCCAGTGCCTTTGAACTTTCTATATGTATCCAGCCAAATGTCAACAAAGGAGCGTTGCTTGCCCAAACCGCGCATGGAGGTGTCTAGTCCCTCGCCAGGAATACCATGTCGCTGCCAGTAGGTCCTTATTTGGCGAAAACGGTACCAGAAGTAGACCAGCAGGCACACCACAATGCTTACCAGAACTTGTGTTAGCAACATTTCAGTAGCGTGAAGAAATTCGAAAATTCTTAGACTTTATTTTTAATTTGTTCACAAACAATAAAATTAAATGCAGCTGCAACAAGCAGCGAGTGAACTACTAAGTACGATAAGGCACAAGCAGCTATTTAAAACAGTCTGACGAAGCTTTTTAACGCTTGAGCAGATAGTAAGAGCGAGCGAACAGTTAATATTATCTAAAATACTACATAAAAGAGTGGGGATATTTCTGTTGTCGTTTTTTTTTTAATAAAAATAAGTGCATGTATTTCAATTTTTATAAGGATGGCAGTAAGTTCCTATAAGTATGCAAACCCTGTCAGCTATTAATATTGAGGTTTATTGGTTACCTTTTGCTTTTCTCGGTCTGGTTGACTTTTAGTAAAAACAAGTAATTTTTAAGCAAAAAACAAAGCCGACTTCAATTCTCGTATAAAAATTGATGAGTACCGTTAGTTTCTTCCAATGGTCGGACTATATACGGAAAAGGTATTCTCCAATACCTCTGGTATAGGCAACTTATGTGGTCTGTGTACAATCTCCTGGCGTTGCAAGGTTAGTAGCGGTTCTTACTTGGCATTAGCCGGTTGGCAATCACGCCAGAAGGCTGAGTGTAGTCTACAATAAATTCTGTAGAAGCTGCAATAATAAAAATGAACAGTAAAGAGTCCAGCTTTTATGAGGATAAGAAATGCCAAAGTAGGAGCATGACAACAAACATATACTTTATTTAAAAACTAATTTTGGTTTCTAAAAAAAAATCATGAATCAAATAACGACATATATTTTAAAGCTCATAAAATCCCGCTCAAATTTTCTCAACATATAAACAAATTCCATGCTCGGATTGTACTAAGAAGTTGACTTTGTCGTAGGTCATCGGAATCGGAGTTTTTCCGTCCACGGAAAATTTAAAGTTCTTCAACAACAAAGCTAACCCAATACGTGCTTGCATTTGTCCAAAACGCATGCCAATGCAATTGCGTGGCCCCTCGCCAAACGGCAACCACTCAACACCGTCGCGGTGAGCCACCTTTTCGGGAGAGAAGTTGTCCGGGTCGAAAGAATTCGGGTTGGGATACAGCTCTGGGTCACGATGATATGCGGCGGCCGGTATAACCACCTGCATGCCCTTTGCGATGACATATTTGGGGTTGCCAGGCACCGCATACTCCTCCATGCACTCACGGTTCAGCACAGGTAGCACAGTGTACAGGCGAAGCGTCTCTGCATGACCAATTCAAGAAATTATGATTAAAAATATTTCGACTCCGGCTGTTAGTCGACTTACCCGAAATCACCTGGTTTAAGTATGTCATTTCCCTCATGCAATCGTAGGTGAATTCACCATTGTGATGCTCCAAAGCCGCTGTAATCTCATCGCGCACGCGCTGTTGTATGTCCTCGTGTTGGGCCAACTCGTACAGCGCGAAGCTCATTGTTGTCGACGAGGTCTCAAAACCGGCCACCAAGAAAACGAATGCTTGCGCAGTTATCTCCTCAACGGTTATATTCGTCATCATCTGACCGTCCTCCGTTTTAAGCATCTTGTTGTTCTTCAAATCCAACAACATATCGAAGAAATCATTGCGCCTGATATTATTTTTCTCGCGGTATTCAATATTTTCGCGCACGAGGCCCATGTAGAAGTCGGTTATGTGGTCAGGGGTACTCTTGATATGCAATCTTTGGCACATTTTAGGGAAGCTTTGGATTAAAGCCAGACCAATGCGCCCGTAACGGAGATCAGTGAATACGCGTTTACCCATTACACGAAACTCATCACTGGGATTTTTTAAACTATTCACCTCAATGCCGAAGGCGCAAGTGCCTATGACGTCAGTAGTGAAACGCGCCAAGTAGTCTCGTATCTCCAGCACCGCATCCTTCTCTATGTCTGCGGCCACAACACGCACAAACTCTTCGCCCACTCTTAACACAGTTGGAAACATGTACTTCATTTTTCCAGACGTGAATGTGGGTGATAGCTTATTGCGCATAGTACGCCATCTATGGCCATCCAATAGGAAAAGTTGGCCGGTAAGTGGATCATCCTCGGGATTTGTATAAAAACCGCGATCAACAAAATTGTTGAAGTCTTTAATTAGGATAGCTTTGGCCAACTTTGTATCGAGTATAAAGGCTGCGGGACGCTGAAACCAAAAGAAGCCGCAAAATGGGCCGGTGTCCTTAAATTTCTTATAGGTGGTCAACCAAACTTCCAGAAATGAGCGTTTCGTGTGAATGCCATCTAAATTACCCAACAAATAATGTGGCTTCTCGTAGGCAATGCCACGCACCTCCCAATACATGAAGCGTTGCCGCAACCAGTAGGCAATGTAGCCGAGCAGGGCGAGCAGGATGGCTAGCAAAATTTGAGTGACAGACATATTAGTTAGTTGTCTGTGTTGTGTTTGAATTATTTGTCGAAACGCAAAACTTTAAAACTGTGCGCAGCCCGCGCAGCTCACTGAAGCGTTAAATATCAGAGCGTTTCGCTAACTAAACTAAAGCAATAGCATTACAGCTGCCTAAGTCTAGATGTTGGCAAAAGCTTTTTATACCCGAGCGTGGTTATGCACAAGGGTTTTAGAATTTGATATTGCAAGTAAGCGCGTACGGGTAGCTAATTTTTATCAATTACTAAGAGAGAACTCCACCTAATTTATGCTAACTATCTAATAAAGTAATGACTATGCATTCATACTTGATGAGTTACGATTTCAAATTGCAGTCACTAACGCATACCTATGTATGTAGATACTTATGCGGCAGCTCTGTTCAAAGTATTTGATTCCCTCGTAGGAAAATTCTTCCTTTAATAAACTGAATATAAATTTATTAAAAAACAACAGCGTTTATAGGCAAGCATCAGTGCATACGAATGTAGTGACTAACAAGTAATTTTTAGCAAAAAAAAAACGACTTAAAAAAATATATATATTTCATGATCCAATGATCGGATCTAAACCAGATTAGTATGGGACCACCTCTGAGAGACTACCTTTCCGACGCAAAAAAAACTTATCGAAATCGGTTGACGTGGTCCAAAGTTATGCGGTAACATGCACCTGAAACAAGTTTGTCTCCTTAGAGCCTGGACTGGTTCAGGAATAATAGTCTGCTTTTGAGCTAATTTCTTTTAGTCTTTTGGTACTGGGAAGATTTTCCAAGCTAAGGTATTACTTTTCGGCAGTGCCTGGACTGGCTGGGTCCTACAAAAACCT